TACTTTGAAATTCAAAGTTTTCCGGAACCCGTTAGATACATTTTAGAGGTGGAGAACATGGTTTATTTATAGCTAAAATTGGTCTTTGAACTCTGTTTTAGTATCTTCGAGTACTCTTATATCGGTAATTTGTGTCTTTCTGTTATTTGTTTCTGTTTTACGGGAGGATTGAGCGCTAGCAAACATGTTAAACTCCGCCGCATGTACCTGTCACAAGCCAGAGATTGTCGTTGGTTGATGTCTGCCATATTCGTTCATCATTCCATTACATCTGATACATGTATATCTATCCCGGTTTTCGCTGTTTATATACTTCTTTGCTTGCCTGTCCTGAAATCTGTCTCGTTGCTTTTTATGTCTCTTTAGATTATTTGTCTTCTTGATTCATTTTTGATTCCCCACTAAATGGTTCGATATCACTCTGTTGTTCTTCAAAAGAATGTAATGACCGCACCTCTCAAATCCTATTCACGCCACATGGAGTATAAGACACTAATCCACTAATGAGTGCTCACAAATATGCTTAACACCGCCACATGTATGTATGTTCTGTAACTTCCTCCTCTAATAGGAGAACCATCATTGGTAATGGTGTAATGGAGGACATTTCATACACTGTATCGGTACAGATTTAATTTGAGCCTTTGCCTATCGAGCTACTCGGCCTGGCAGTGACGGGTCTTACTTCCAGAAAGTAAACCCATCCCAAATATTGAGAACAATGCAATAAAACATACAAACACACTCACCCGATTCTCTCATCCTCAAAATATAAAAAATTCAATATATATCAAAACAATTATATACAAAATAAAGGAATAGGTCACACCGAATTCCGCACAAATGCCATGGCAACGAACGGAAAACCTGTAAGGACAAACTTGGATTCCAAACGGATACCACTAAATGCCAAGCTGTATTACTGATAGAGGAAAGCCGAAAATCCTACAATAAAGGATCTCGGAAAGAAGCTACCGATCCATTAGGGGAACAGCTTAAACCCTCAAACATCAAATAGATTGGTCTGATAGTTTTCAAAATTGAAACTTCTAATGTATCCCATCTGAGCATATTACTCAAACAAACCTGAAAATATCTGCAGAAACTTTCCTCAACAAAAAAAATATAATTCAAAACATTCAATAAGGATAATAAAATTTATCCATGAAACTAATTTGACAAAGCAATTTCATTGATGTTGAAGGATTATCTCTGCAAATAACATTCATGTCCGCTCTAATTCAGATATTCTCGGAAACCTAGCATTCTTTATGTGCCTGTCCCAAGTCAGGAGACTGTAATTCAGTTGTTGTCGTTGGTTCATGTCTGTCATATTTGTTGTCGTGTTATATTTGTTGTTGTGTCATATTTGTTGTTGGTTCATGTCTGTCATATTTGTCGTTGGTTCATGTCTATCATATTTGTTGTTCGTATATTGAATTGTTATAAATTAGACCGCAAGTTTTCTCGTTTGAATTGTTTCACATTTTTTCATGTCGAAGCCTTTTATAGCTCACTATACATTATGGGTTGTTCTCATTGTCGAATGCCGTTAGGTGACCTATAATTGCTTACCATCATGTCATTTGAATTCTGGTGGATAGTTGGCAATCATACCACATCTCCTTATTTTTATAATGATCTTTGAAAAGCTATTAATCATGTCTTCAAACTCTGCTTTATTTGTTGTAAATGCTGCTTGTAACTACAAATCAAAGCTTATTATTAGTGCAAATGCACTTTGATCTTTTAGATATGGTCTTTTCTCATTCTATTATAGGAATTAAAAAGTAAAATAACAAAAATACCGAACTCCAAAGAAAATTCATAACGGAAAGTCACGATGATTCAGTGTTTTCCATTCGGCATTTAAGCCGGGTGTGCCGACCACCTTCTTTTGAAAGCCGACCACCTTTCTATTTTAGGAGGTGGTCGGTTTTTTTTCAAATTCCGGATTTTTATCGGTTCCGCACCGTAAAAATTTGAATACTAATCGCGCCTAGCTGATTTGTTTTCATTGAAAAAAATGGCGGATCGTCAAATTTCAATGTTTTCTTTTATTATTCGAGGGAGGAGAAAGGCAGATGACGATGGTGATAAGGAAAACTTTAGGCAAAATAAGTCAACTAAAACGGATAGTGGTATTGAAATTGTTAAAATTGAAAAAAAAAGTATCAAAACAACGGAAAAGGCACGCGAGCGATCGCGAAGGTAAACAGGTTAGGAACAATCCCCTAATGAGGGATATTCCTTAAATGAGTGACAAGAGGTCGTCTTATTGTTGAAGAAAAGAAAAAAGAAAAACTAAGATTTTTTAACTTAAAAGGGGGAAAACTCGTTATAAAATCGAATCAATTCAAATAGTTTATTATTCCAATCAGGGTCCCACAGGGGGCATTTACAATATTAAATAATTTATGATAGTATAACTATAAGCAACAAACATGAGACATTGTACAGTTATGTAATATTTGGGACAACTTTTCTAAAAGAGGGTCCCTTTTTTTTAATGATAAAGTAGATATAAGTCCAGGATTATTACAAAATTCTTGGACATGTTTTGACCATATAAATAAAGGCAACAGTAGTATACCGCTGTTCGAAACTCATAAATCGATAGAGATAAAAACAAATTCGGGTTACAAACTAAAACTGAGGGAAACGCATCAAATATAAGAGGAGAACAACGACACAACAAAAACACAACATTAAAATGTAACACACACAGAAACGAACTATAATATAACAATGGCCATTTTCCTAACTTGGTACAGGACATTTTAAGAAAAAAATGGTGGGTTGAACCTGGTTTTGTGGCATGCCAAACCTCCCGCTTTAATGGCAATGTTAAATATAACATTAAAATGACAACACAACATTACAGGACTACAATACAAATAAATAGGAGAACATATTGGACAAAGAATCACACGAATAATAGCTAACAAAAGGCACCAGGTTTAAAATTAAATACGCCAGAAGTGCGTTTCGTCCACACAAGACTTACTCAGTGACGCCCAGATACAAAAGTTCGAAAGCCAAAACTAATAATACCAAATAGATGTATAGTTCTTTGGAAAAAGTTTCTGTAAATGAAATAAATATGTGCTTATTTGTATCTCTTGAAAAGTATCCTTCATAAAAGGGATAGTCATTACATTGAGAGGTTCCCAAGCTGAGAAATATGAACAGGACTTTAAATGGCTAGTCGTAACAGAAGAAGGATGTTACTGTTCTGTGTACCAAAAATACAGCACTAAAGCAAGGAATAGGACAGAAACTTGGCAGGAGGAGGGAGTCCTGCAAAAGCCATCTGCTATTCAATTCCATTAAATGTTAATACAATACTAACCATTCTTTTTGTGACAACACCCACAGTAAAAAAAACCCGGTTGGAAAAGTATAAAAAAAAATAATACGACCGGTACGAAAAGTGATTTTTTCAAAAGACCCACCTTACCTTTGTGAAAAATGGAGAACACTGGATGATTAGATCTCTCAAAAGTCCTTTGTGATATGTTTTGGAGCCTAAAATTTCATATTTTAACAGTTACTACCGATTAAAAAATATCTGCAGTCGAAATAAGAGTGTGACGTGTCGTGCACAGTCTGTTCATTAGATCTGTTTGTATTATGGAACGACACAGCGCTTTCTTTTGTCAACATATGAAAGAGCAAAAAAAAACATTTTATTTTTGGATTGTTTGATATAATAAGCCTAACTTCCAGTGGTATATCTTTTTTTTTATCAAGGACGAGAACAAATTAAAAGTAAATCCAAGAGAGGCAGGCCGACCTGGATGAAGGGCGGAAATTCATATACCCATCAGAGTGTATGTTGGATAGGGGCGGAAATAGTTGCTTTCAACAGGCCATCCATGGAACCTTGAAAGAGTTGATGCGGGGGATCATCTGTGTGTAAAGGAAGGGCCACTCTCCCTAAGACAGGCATCGGATATAACAGCTACATTCCGACAGGACGCGGTGGCATACTTATACAGCCAAACGGACGCCACTCTTAGACATTGGATTTACAGGCGTATTGACGAAATCCAGGTGACGATTTTTCGTTTGGTGTTTATTCTATGGTTTAATAATGCAAACCCAATGCATGATTATGTTAACATTTTTAGTTTAAGACACATATTCAACATTTATATGTTTGTATCGTCACCTCGGCTTTCATGCAGTGGTCATAATAAGCAAAATACAATTCCTTGATTTAAGGGGTAGTGACCAAAATTCGTTATTTTCGGTTCCATACATTCAGAATACATCATTAAAAACAAACGAGAATTCTGGAAGTTCCATGTTGGTAATCGAATACATCCTTTTCAATCTTTAATGAAGATTATTACTTATTTTTTTGTAAGATGAGAAACGTAATCAAATACTTGTACTTCTTAAGTAAAGTTCATTTTCGTGTCTAGTATCTTAAATGTAAATTGTATATTTAAATGTCGCTTTTGCGATTTCTCTCTAATGAAGTAGTCCTATTTTGTTGATCTACCTTATCTGCATTACCACATCTGTACTTACGAATAAAAACAACCAATGGAGACTGCAAAATTACATATGGTCTGAAGGTTTTTCAAACGAACATCTCTTCAATACGTACCCTTTGACATACTGTAATTATGTGCACATTGATTTTGTTCGTATATGCCAATTGTAGGTTTATTTCAACTTTTGTTTATCTAAATTTAACTGTACGTATTTAGTATAAGTATATTTCATGTTTTCATGTATAGAATTATTATTTCCACATTTCAGTTTACTAGTTTTAGAAATGCAATATAACTCAATTTACGAAATTTTGGTAAAAAGTCAGAGAAATAAATTATCATACGGAATGCAAAACAATTAAAGGCTTTTCGTCATTATAAATAATTAAACTAAGATCCATATACCATTTAAAACTTATTCTTAGAAATGAGAAATAATTATATTTCAACAACATTTAAATATGATGAAGTACTGCATGCTTGCGACACACGATGTTATTGCGGATCTGTACAATAACCTAAAACAGAAAAAAATGACGTTTTAATATTGAGCATTTTACCTATTTCTGAAGAAAAAAAAATAGACCGAATGAATTATGCTAGTTTAGAAGGTAGTTTTGATAAGCAAAAAAATAAAGTAATAAATACTGAAAATATTTTTTTCATGAAAAAACAAGAAGTTATAGTTTCATCAAGAACATGGCATCAGGAACTTTCTATAACTAGTATACAAAGTCCCTGATGGCATATATAAATCATATACACATATTTGGCTTTTTTCCCCTTTATCAAATTGATTATGTATTTTAGCCAATATATTTTATTTTTATAATTTTGGCAGCCCTTGTGAAGTTTAAGCCAGGAAATGGCTTTCAAAGCAAGCAGAAAATGAAAACAACACGTTAAATAATTGCATGCGTCCGAAGCGCTTTTCTTGATTTACCTTCATCAGGAACGCTCAAAGCCGAATATTTGAAAACAGAGCTTTACATTTTGCTTCAGTTTATAAATATACACACCTAGTTCTCCGAGTGGAACATCATAAACACCCCTTCCTTTACAGATTAATGGTGACCTACATGGACATCCAAATACCAACTGGTCAGGTGGCTGTGATGCAGAACCATATCTAACATAACATCCTAAAGTGACATGATTGTAAATGTACATGAATAAATCTGATAAATGTATATTTCTGTCTGTTAATCAACAGTTTTAAATTAAGAAGTAAATGGAAAAAAACAGGGAAACTAAATGTACGTTATGGTATGCATTTGATCGTGTTAAATTGTGTAAAAAGTATAATAAATTACAAAAACTTGAACATTTTGTAAACTAAATACATCAATATGTATATCAGTTTCAGAAAATATCTTTAGCGACTGACTTTAACAAGGCCAAGTTGCATTGCAGTTAGACGCCATACTTTTGTGCTAATAACCGGCCCGACGCCTAGTTGGTTTCAAGTATATACATGTACCTTAATTAATGAAAAAAAAATAGAATCGATTAATTGTTTTCTTAATTCCCTGAATTAAACTATCTTTAAGAAAGTTCTCATTTATTTAAAAAAAAAATTTAAAATCCACTGGTACATATATATATATACGGAAGTGAATATTTTTCAATAATTGATTGATTGTTGCTTACTTCATGTCCAATGGCAATTTTTCATGCATATTCGGGACGATTCTTCAATAAAGGGTTGTTGATATATTTTATATATCGTACGTAAAATTACATATTTAAAATCAAATGTTTTTGTAAGTATACACAAATTATATACAGATATAGTATATTACCTGATTTTTCAGTCCCAAGTGGTTGACAGTATCCATAGGATTGGTCAACATTTCTCTTTCCTATAGGTCTAACTTTATTTATACAACATTCATTGGCAGCACAGTCCTTTGGGGAATTACATGGTGTTGGAACCGCCAACTATTATGACATAATATGAAAATAAGGAGATGTGGTATGATTGCCAATGAGACAACTATCCACTAAAACTCAAATGAAGTGCATGTAAGGAATAATCGCAAACCGTACGACCTTCAACAATGAGAAAAACCCATACCGTATAGTCGACTATAAACATATATTTGTAATTCTCTGTACAATTTATAGTTGTAGTTCTACATTAAATCTTTTCAAATCGGCTTAATTTGGAATAACATTACTATGTGACTCGTCGAAAATCTTATTATTTAACTGGTTTAAGCCCGCCTCTGGATGCGGGATTTTCTCGCTGTGTTGAAGACCCATTGGTGGCATTGGACTGTTTTCTGCTGTTTGATCGGGTTGTTGTCTCTTTGATACATTCCCCGTTTCCATTCTCAATTTTATTTTTCAAATGTGACCGATTAATTTTGTTGAATTTAAAATCTTTACGTGTATTGATACCTATTCAAGGAATTTCACTACTTATTTTATGAAAATTTTAAGTTGATACTCACCACTGTCAAAAAGCAAACAGAAAATATATAAAGAAAAGTTTTGAGCTCCATAACAATAAAACGTGACTGTGTTTATAACATAGAAATAATAGATAAGAAAGGTCAGTTGACACAAATAATTGGTCTTGTCTATGGACATGTCGTTAACAATTACGTTCCAATAAAAAGATTAGAAGATGTGGTATGATTGCCAATGATAGAACAAAGGACGTGGATGTAAAGGTCACCGTATAGCCTTCAACCATGAGCAATACCCATACCGCATAGTAAGATATAACAGGTCCCGGCATCACAAATGTCAAACAATTCACACGAAAAAACCAATTGATTAATGTTAAAACAATAAACGAAAACAAATATGGGAGACATCAACCAACGACAAGATATCTTTTCGAAGTTAGAAATGTATCAGCCATTTTTCATTTTCGATTACTAAATTTAAATGTTTTTTCTACGTTTGCTCCATTTGTATCTTCTATGAGTTTTAACGGGTTATGACTTCGTTTTATTTACACCCGTGGCTGCAGTTTTTTCCTTGAAGAAAGTGGAGCACTGATCTTTTACATTTTTCGCATACATGAGGATCTTAGGCTTGGATTACAATATTATGACATTTAGTTCTTACTTTGTACAAGCAAGACACTAACATCTATCGTACAGAGCAAAGTGCAATAGATAAAGCAGCCTATACAAATAGAAGCTAGGCAAATAAAATGCATGGCCAATTTTCACTGTATTAGTTTCCTTGAAATAGGGATTTTTTTTTATCAAACCAACCAGACATTGGAATATCAAAAATCCACAATGATATTTATATATTTCATGGTTTTTTTTAACGCTTATATGTATATCAATGAAATGGAAATTTTCAGTGCTAAACATTATTGTTTTATAGAATTTAATAACATTATTAGCGCCAAAATTAAAAAGAATATACATGAATCACATTTGGCAACTGTAAAGTGAAGAAATGTTGGTATTAACAGTGTAAAATGCATCCTTGGACTTCTTCCGACCGGCAGTAAAATTATTGTCAAAGTGTGGCGTTAAGAACCCCTGCCACAACTCTTTGGTGGTGGTGTTGGTGGTAGTGTGGTGGTGGTGGTGTTAGGGGGTCCGTAGTTGGCCTGTTGCACGGTTAAATTTCTGTCCCTATCCATGGTATTTCAACATTTCTTGCACTTCCTCCTGGTAGTCCCCCATTTACAGGACCTATTGTGTTAAATATAAATTTGTTCTCGCCCTGAACATGCCTGAAATATTTTCCACTGGACATAAAGCAAACAACAATCAATCAATCCAATGTAAAATTGAAATGCGTTTGTATGAGATAGGGTATGATAAATTAAGGCACATAAGCTGAAATAAGAAGAAACTTTATTGAAAATATTTTTAATATAGAAATTAATAACAAAAAAATCAAAACCATAGACTAGGTAACGCAACTTACAATTGCTAATCATAAGCCATTAAAGGCCCATCTGTAATAAGATGGTTAAAAATAATCCAAAAACCCTAAATCGGATCTCTAGACTGAGGTAATGTACCCCGATATCAAACCATTTGTGAAATGATTATTTGTTGACGCCATGCAAGAAAACATCAACTTTTAGCATAGTTTAAAAATATCTACAACAATAACAACATATTATTAAGGATCAGATTAATTATTTCGGCAAAAATTATAATTATTGTTAAAATCACGACACCTCGAACGAGGCCTTAATATTACACAATAAGAAACTCCATGCTAAGGCTGATTAAATTCCATGAATGCATATACAACTCGAGATTTTTTTTAATGTCAAATGCGTGCACCTTTCATGTTATGAATCGAAAATGTCGTCCTCTGACGCAATATGGCGGATTTATAACTTTACTGTCTAAACATTTTTAATTAAAATGATTATTTTTGTGTAATCGTATTGGTCATCGACTTTTTATCTTTTATTGGGGATGAGTTTTTCTTTCGACAATCTTTTTTTTTTAACTTAAATTAGAAACAAACTATTTAAAGAATAACAACCAGGAACATAAATTTGTTTTAAAAATCAATATGTTGCGACATCAAATGCACTCTATAAATGTTCAAAAATACTTGTCGTTTGTATCCCGATATCACAACAATCGTGGTGTCTTGGAAACTCTCGCTAAAAGACCGATGAATCGTCAGACGTGTCAGAGCTCGTTGTTGAAGCAGATTTGTAGGTATGTGTACTGTCCGGAAATGAATCATTCACTTTACGTTTCAAAGAAGATCGGTGTATTTCTTTATGGCTCCGCAAGGAATTAACGGCATAAAGAATTCCTGGATTTTTGCTGAATTTCTTTTTCATATCTACTTTTCTGAACTTTTCCGCTCTTCGCCTGCATACCTTCCCTTTAGATTTATTGTTCTGACAACACTCATCATTTGCATATTGTTTTGTAACATTCAATATTCTGTCGTCAATCTTTCTCTGAATTCCACTTTTTACCGGTTCTTTATCCTGCACATGCTCATATTCGTTTTCAATTACAAGATAAGTAGTGACGTCATAACTGCATCCACGATCATTGAACTTCTGCCAATGAGTTAATCGCGAGTTAATAAATTTAAGCACACACAAACAAACAACAATAGTAACTGCAACTGGTATTACCAAAACCAATATCCAGGAAGGAATACTTCGATCGATATAGCCATTGTCATGTCGAGGTACGGCTGTTTGGTTAGTAGAGTTTTGCACTTCATTTAGATCTTCGATGATGGATACATTTGTAACCATTATTCTGGAATTAAAGCTAAAAAAAAAGGAACCATTTTAATTTATTGCAAATATCAAACTGAAATTTCATGAAATTTCAGTTAAAAGAAACATTTCGGATTCTCAAATATACGTTGTTTTATACTACTGGTGCTGTAAAGCTATAACTCTGATGGAAATAAAAACGTTATGAAACAAAAAAATATTTATAAAGCAAAGTAATCATTGATACAATTCAGCAAAATATATGTAATGAAACAAGGATATATTGTATGATTGCTTATTAAGAAGATAAAAAACCAAAAGATAAAAACAGGGAAAATCGTTGTGTTGAAGACCCATTGGTGGACTTGGGCTGTTTTCTGCTTTTTAGTCGGGTTGTTGTCTCTTTGACACATTCCCCGTTTCTATTCTCAATTTTATCTTTGAAATTTCAATGTAATCCAGTCAATGGTTTAAGAGGAATTTTGGATTAAAAATACTTACCCTGTTTATAGATATGACAAATTCACGTGATTGGAGATACACATTTTAAGTCCATACTAACAATGGCGAGGGTCATGTTTTGCTTCTGGAAAATCGAAAAATCATTCGGATCAACAAAGGAAATGTGAGGACGTGGTTCTTAAGGCAGTATGTAAGAACATCTTGTAGTAAATTAGAAAATTAAAAACTAGAAAAAAAAAACATGCATCCACACGATTTGATCTGTTATCCAATAGTGCACTTCTATATGGTCTTTAAAACAAGACGTAAGAAGGATCATTGGCGGCTAATTGCAGATTCAAAAGTGAACTTGACGAACATATGCATCTATGACTATGGTGCTAATTGGTAAACCTATTTTTGTGTTTTGCTTCTCCATCTGTCAGATAACATTCATCAGCATTGACTTTGTTATCTTCAATTTTTATTATTTTTTTTTAAATACTATGGACAATACTGATTAAAACTAGAAAACCTATGAGCAAGGGTCACACATGCAACCACCATTCATATCGATATGGCAAAGCCAATGTTTTGCAGCGTAAACCCGTACACACTGTTCGGATTGAAAAATAGAATAAGAAAGGAATAATGGTATTATGTAAGAAATTATCATGGAATTTTCAGTAAAATAAAGTCATTGTTAAGGAGGGGTAGCGGATACAAATGTAAAGGTTGACGATCCCTTTTGTAGACGAGGCAAAGTCTGTGCTTTGCTATCACCCCCCCCCCCCCCCCGTTCCGAAAAAAAAAGTGAAATTGAGAATAGATACTGAAGATTCTATGTACGTTTCATTGAAATCCACACTGGGCTAAGATGGATAAACAAAAGCAAAAAAAAAAAAAAATAAAAAAAAAAGGAAGAGGAAGATACCAAAGGGATATTCAAACTCAATAGTCGAAACGAACTAACATTGCCAGGGAGAAAAACAATTAAAAAAAGACCAAAAGACAAACAACAGACATAGAAAACTAAAAACGAAGTATCACGAGCCCCACCAAACCGAGGTTGAATTCAGGTGCTCCGGAAGAGAACCCTGAACTTACGAACAAACGAATGGTAGGGCACAACGGTTTTAACATTCCGCAGCTTAACTAATCGGGGATGCATTAAATCAGTTATATAAGATACTTACATTCAAAGTTATAGAACTGTTTGAAATCCATTTGATATGATATGTATATAAGACGAATGTCTGGTCTTATACCTGTCTGAAAGAAATACAATAATTAACAATAATCAATTGACATTGATTGGTCTAAATTAGATCAAAGTTTAAATATACATGAACTTTATGCAATTTTGGTTTATTGTAACGGCAGTGTGCCAAATTTAACATAAAAGATTCACAATATAATTACAGTAATCATTATTCTATCTCTGTTTGGTATTTAATTATGTGAATATCAATTATACAAAATAGTTATTAGGCGCTTCTTCACGAAAAGCGAAACGATTTGTTAGAAATATTTTCAATGAATTTTTTTCGCATATACATACTCGAGAAAGGACAAGTTTAAACTTTTTATAATCGCACTTATAAATAGATATAGATCCAGATATAAAGAAAATTTGAATGATACCACGTATGGCTATTGTCGCACGTAGTACCAGGACAACTTTTGAATATTAGCTGTTTGGAATACTGATGTGTTAGTTTCGTCATTTACTACATAATGTTTTCTTCTTGTTTGTTTATTAATAAAACGAAATGAGGGGTATATGTCATTGGTACATGCAACAACCAATAATACAAACAGCATACAGACATGTTTTGCTAGAAATATATGACCGTTACAACTGTATAAAGTATTACTACATTGTACTTTCAGTGGCATTAACGTTAAACGGTTCCTATTTTACTGCACCACATGTGCATCTGGACAATTATTGTCTCTCTCAGAGGCAAAACTATTTTAAAGTTCAAAACATTATACAAAAAATAGAATATAGCGTTAAACTTCAAAGAAGTATAAATATAAACGGCAAAAGAAGGAAAAGATAATGATTAAAATAAAAAAAATGGCCATTTTTTTTACATGTTTCACAAACTTTTACGGTTTGGGTGATGAGTGGACCCAAGTTTCACGATGTGCTAAACCTGCCACTTAATCTATTAGAGAATTAAATTGTATGCCTTTTAGTTGTTCGTTAAACTTAGCGTGAGATAATATCTAAAATAGCAATTTTGTTTACCATTTTCTTCTCCGTATGTGCAAGACATTACAACGACTTTCCACACAGTTGTATGAGGTTTTAATGTTTTCTTCTTTGGGTGCTTACATCCTATATGAATTTAATGTGTAACCGAGGATCACTTAAAATTCCGATATGCTATATAAAGCTATTCCAACGAAAACATCATTCTAATATGATATGCATTATTTATTAGTTTGCCGAGAAATCTGAGTTTTCAAAATTCTTTTCTTACATTTTGTTTGTCCTTTTAAATTGATTACTTTGTCATGTGGTTTGGACACTTCGTGCTTAGAATACTGGTCATTTGAAATTGTCTTGTCAGCATCCACTTCGAATACCTCCATTTCAAAATCAAACAAATAAGAAATGTCAAGTTATTAGAAGGTCAAGTCGGCCGACAGGCACTTCTTTAACTAAGTAAAAGTACAGTTAATTGATCTTATTAAAATTGTTTGTTTAACGTGCTACATGTACATAATATGTTTTGTCATTGTTCACTCGGAAATGCACAAAATGTTCTCATTTATCAAAGTTTTAACATAAATTGCAACATTCTCCATATTTTAAAGTATGGAAAACGGGTTTGCGTCAATTAGCGAAGCACATATGTGTGTAAGTATTCAAAATAGTATACCTTTGTTATATTTTTTCTTATCCTAATTATTCTTTTAAATGTACGAGATTTTAAACCTTATAATGTATTGTGCATAATTATAATGAATACAATACTGGCATCAAATCAAAATATAATGGCATTGATACGTATATATACACATATCTTTCGACACAATAATATATTATTAGAACCTAACCAAATAGCAGGGGCGGACCCAGGAAAAAAATGGCGATCAAAGGTGGGAGGCTCTGGATCCGCCACTGAACAGTACTATGAGGCAGCGGACTCTTCGCCTCTTTCGTCGTATCTTCTACTTCTTTCTCCTCTTTTGGATCTTCAACAGAGCCGGCATTAAAATCATTTTCGTATATGCTTTTTTACTGTCAAAATTCCTATGTTAAATTAAGTTAAATAATTTAGAATAAAACAAAAAGTCAAAGATTTATTTACACTGTGCATATTGATCTGACATGATCTTTTAAAAAATATCATTATCATGTTAAAATAGATATAACTCGTTTATAGGACATTAATTAAGTGTCCATTTGTTTAAAAAAAATATTTTTATGGTTTACCATTGTCAGGATCGATCGAGAGGAGTTACCTTTCACGAGTGGTTGCTAAAATTTTATACGAGGGGCGTAAAGGGGGGTATCACGATGAACGAACAATTAAAAATTTCTTGCACGTGATCTTTTTACCGATTCCACGAAACACGGTGAATAACGAACCTTTTTCACGGCTGCACGTGAAATAAAAATGGCAAAACACGTTGCACGAAAATAACCCTTTACCACCCTCTTATATGTTTTAAAATCTAAAACTAAAAAAAAAATAAAAATTTGGATCAAACGTGGTGCAGATACGATCAAATAAAGGTAGATAACTCAGTTGCGCGTTATAGTATGATTAATATTTGTTCGGTCGTTATTTAAGAAATAATTTTTTAAAATGCGCTGATAAACCATATTCTCACTGCCTAAATGATCACTTATAGCTTTATGTAGTGGATTGTTTATTGTTATTGAATACAAGTGTGGACACAGATCAGTGTGGATAGTATGTTTGGATGTTTGACAGTGTTTTATGACAAATGGGGGTTCTATGTTTTTCCCATAGGGTTCTATATTATTAACTCTGTTGCACAATGACAGCCAACCTGAGCATTAGGAGTGTTGTTTATTTAATATTTAGTTTTTTTTTGTTCAAGACTGGCATGGAAGAGACACTAATTGCATTTTTTACCAAATGATTATGATAGAATATGTTCCACATCTTTGATTTTGGATACATTTTGTAGCTAGGAGAGGAACACATATTAGGTTCATTTGTTCATGATGTGATTTTTTTATATGGGAGATGGTATCTGAGAACATGTATTTGCTTACTATTTGTATGGTTCTATTTATGTTACTTTGTGGTGGATCGTCAGTATCATTAAATAAAGATTTCGTTTAAATGTCGAAACTGTTTCTCAGATTAAAAGACATTTAATGGTTTTTAGTAATGACAATGCCCGACATGATGCTTGGGGCTAGATGAGATAGAAAGTAAACTTCTGTGTTATTTTTATTAATTCTTCGAAAATATCTCCTCCAAAGCTGGTCAAAGCAAAAAAAAGTTTTGACCAGTATGAAAATGATATCAACAAAAGAACCTTTGTGAGTATGCTTCAAAGACTCATAACTGCTACAGAAGTCATCTGATAGAATTTCAAGTGGATATGAACATCTACTCAATATGTCTAAATATCTAAAAAGTTATAGTATTCAATATGAAAAAGGTATTGCAAAATTATTCTCTTTTCAATTTTTTTCGTTATATGGATACAAATATAAGTGATACCAGTACAGTAAGGCAGTTTTGTTGTAATATGAAAGTGTTGTAATTAACATTTACTGTTAATTCACACAAATTAAGAAATAAACAAATGAATGATAAATGTTGAACATGTACAATGAAATATAGTTCTAGAAATCAATTAGGCCAGATAGGCCTTATGAATTTTGGTCTTTTTTTTAACATACTGAATGACCATTTACACTCGGGACTGAGTCGTCAGTAGGCAGAACAGATGCATAAAATAAAGTGTAACAAAATAACCTAGCATCAGATTGCTAGTAGCACGAGTAGCATTGTTTGGTAAATTTGTGCTTTTGTTTTTAAATTTGGCTAATGGACAAAAAATGTTTGGTTCAAATCTCAACAAAATGCTTTTATCTCCCTATTTGATACTTCTTACATTGTACATAGAATGGATACTACTTTGACAATTCATTGTACACGAGAGTTGTCTGTCAAATCTTTATTTCACAAAGAATCAATTGCATAACAATGAACTGAGCTCAAAGCAAAGCACTTAAATAATACACTTAGACAAAGAGCTCAATCCAGTGATATACTTTGTACTGCAGGTCCTTCATGAACATCCATCGGCCAAACCCATATCTCACAAACACGCCATACTACATGGTTGGATCAGAAGTCCGGAAAAAGACATGAATTTTATTATCGTAATTTAAGTATATACACCGGTTAAAACTTTCACAAATTTGTGGTAAAATCATTCAGTATCTAGCAAGTATCAATCGCTTCATGCACAAATTGATATAGGTTGAGTGCCCCCTCTGTCGGAAATAAGAACATACCTCCACCTAATTTTAGTTAACTGATGAAGAAACATTCAAAACTATAAAATGTTGTCTAAGACTTGTCAGTGTCTATTTACCATCACCACTGAATCAATAATATGTGTATACATATATAAGACTAAAATTGACGTACATATATAAGACTAAAACTGACATTCGGTCTTTACTCGACCTTCTTTCCTCAAGTTGATGTTCAAATCTGACTTCATAATAAAATAAGATTCCATATCTACATCCAATGAAATACCCTCTTATAGACTAGCCGCAATGAAATCCCAGTTTTCTAAAATGGTAGGTGGAACTTAAAACTAAAAAAAAATTAAAAAAAGATATATTTTAAATCTTGCAAATACATGTACTAATAATTCTTCTCCAAAATTTGCTATATTTTTCCTTATTTTGTCTATTGTTCGAGACTGTATATTGACCTCTAGATGTCTTTCAATTACATCCAGTTTGGCATGGGTTGGTGTCTGATTGTTGTACATGTAATATATCGACGTAGGATTTGTTTATATAAATAACAACTATTCCCTTAAATTCAAATAAAATGTATGTAAGAAATTATAGGCAACCATATGCATACCACCTCCAATAAACAGCTGCGCCATAAGCGCATGATACGCCTGTCACATTTTCAAAGAATAAAGTTCAATTACTTCTCAATGTCATGTTTGAAATTTATGAAAATCAAAAAGGGAGCTTACATCAATAGATTTAAACAATTCACCAAAGTTTAATGAGAATTGCTGAAAACATTTGTAAGTTATTATCCGAAACTGGAAAATCCCCCCTTTTTTAATATATAAAACCCCATAACTTGGAAATGTAAAATGTAAAATTTATAAAATTCTAAAGGCATGTTACATCACTAGATATAAACAATTCACCAATGTTTCATGAGAACTGCTGAAAACATTTTTGAGTTATAGTCTGAAAACTGGAAAATCCCCCTTTTTTTAAGAATAAACTCGGAAACGTAAAATCTAAAATTCATAAAAAAAAGGGAGCTCACATCAATAGATATAAACAATTCACCAAAGTTTTATGCAAATTTATTAAAGCGTTTTTGAGTTAATGTCTGACATGTTGACGACGAACGGACGGACAGACAGACGGACAACGGTATACCATAATATGTCCCATAAACGGGCGTATAAAAATGAGAAAACCCCATACTGTATGCTGTAAAAGAGTCCAACATGTTTATATTGGGATACAGTTTATATTGATAATATTCGAGATTTATTAAAAAACCTTTCATGACATCATAATTATTTTCATTTGTTCTGTTGATTGATAGTGGTACATGTATAAGGACTGGGATGAGATCAAATATATATAGTTCTGCTCAACAATTTCATGATAAATTAGTTGGTACAGTAGCAGGTTGTTTGAAGTTTGCAGAATATTCAACTTTGAACATCTTTTTCAGGTCTGCAATCCATATAAAAATCAGTATATGTGGTATGATTGCCAATGAGACAACTATCCACAGAAGTTCAAATAACAAACCTGTCCTAAGTCAGGAATCTGATGTTCAGTAGTTGTCGTTCGTTGGTGTGGTTCATAAGTGTTTCTCGTTTCTCGTTTTTTATATAGATTAGACCGTTGGTTTTCCCGTTTGAATGGTTTTACACTAGTATTTTTTTGGGGCCCTTTATAGCTTACTGTTCGGTGTGAGCCAAGGCTCCGTGTTGAAGACCGTACTGTGACCTATAATGGTTTACTTTTATAAATTTTGACTTGGATGGAGAGTTGTCTCATTGGCACTCATACCACATCTTCTTATATCTAATTATAGGCAACCATACAGCCTTCAAAAATGAGAGAAAAAAAAGTCCAGACATGTTAAGTATGCAACAATTAAATTGAGAAAAGTAATGGCCTGATTTACACCTTATAAACAACAGGTTGGGACCCCCCCCCCCCTCCCCCCCCCCCCCCCCCCCAAAAAAAAAGAAGAAGTTGTAGCCTTTTATAAAGAGGGATCCGGAGGGGATTCTTTACATTCGGAACAACTTTTCTAAAGGATGGATCCATATAAAAATTAGAATATGTGGTATGATTGCCAATGAGACAACTATCCAAAGAGGTTCAAATGACAAAGCAATTATAGGCAACCATACAGCCTTCAAAAATGAGGAAAACTGTCCCGACATGAAAACTATGCAACATGTATTGAGAAGAGTAATGGCCTGATTCACAATTCCACTAATAAACAGGTTGGGAACACCCCCCCCCCCCCCCCCCCCACACAAAAAAAAAATAAATAAACAGCTGCGCCATGAGTGCATGATACGCTCGTCACATTTTCAAAGAATAAAGTTTCATTACTTCTCAATGTCATATTAAACATTTATGAAAATCAA